TTTGTGTCTGAGTGCTTTCTATTTGTTAATTTAACAGGTTTAGGCCTCGTATTCTAATTGATGTGAGCAAAATAGACATGACCACAACAATTTTGGGATTCAAATTATCTATGCCTATAATGATTGCCCCAACAGCGATGCAGAAAATGGCTCATCCTGAAGGTGAAAACCACATATTTCACCACGATTTGTGTCATTCAAGTCTTATATTCCTTTGATTATGATATGTTAAGACATTATCTAACATCATTTTTGAATGCAGGCGAGTATGCAACAGCAAGAGCTGCATCTGCAGCTGGAACCATCATGGTTGACTTTTTGACTTAGTTAATTTGAATTTTCACATGGGAAATTTGTATGATAAATAGTTATTTTGTATTGATTGTAGACATTGTCATCATGGGCAACATCTAGTGTTGAGGAAGTTGCTTCAACTGGACCTGGGATCCGCTTTTTCCAGCTTTATGTAAGCAACCGTTTTCTGTTATCTAGATCTTAAATCTTCAAGTAATAATAATTTTCAGGTTTATGTAAGAAATTTGTGTGATGTAAAATATATTGATCAGGTGTACAAGGACAGGAATGTTGTTGCTCAGCTTGTGAGGAGAGCTGAAAAAGCTGGATTCAAGGCTATTGCTCTTACAGTTGATACACCAAGGCTTGGAAGAAGAGAAGCAGACATCAAAAACCGATTTACTTTACCCCCTTTTTTGACATTGAAGAACTTTGAGGGTTTAGACCTTGGAAAAATGGATGAAGTAAGTCAAAAGTAATCCCTAACTAAATTCATCACATTTTGACCAAGTCAAAGCCAAAGTCAAACCACCTCTAAAGTCTAATCACATAATGTATATTATTACAATGCAGGCTAATGACTCTGGTTTAGCTTCTTATGTTGCTGGTCAAATTGACCGCACGCTGAGCTGGAAGGATGTGAAGTGGCTCCAGACCATCACCAGCATGCCAATTCTGGTCAAGGGTGTCATCACTGCTGAAGACAGTACGAATACAAATTAATTTACAACAGATTTTTAATTTTATAAAAATAATTAATAAATATCGTGTTTGTTAAAAAATTTGCAGCAAGGTTGGCTATTCAAGCTGGTGCAGCGGGTATTATTGTATCTAATCATGGGGCTCGCCAGCTGGACTATGTACCTGCTACTATCATGGCTTTGGAAGAGGTATTCAATTTCTCCATTTTATTATTATTATTATTTGCAGTCTTATTTTTTTATATAATGATTAATGAGGTGTGGTAACTTTTGCATTAGGTTGTGAAAGCTGCACAAGGCCGTGTCCCGGTGTTTTTGGATGGTGGGGTCCGCCGTGGGACTGATGTTTTCAAGGCGCTGGCTCTTGGAGCTTCCGGCATATTTGTAAGTACAATACTGTCTGTTGTCTGTTCGTCAGCTGGTCCTTGCATGCTTGGCCTAGCATGTGGGGACCAGCTGAAACTGACCTTATTAATAGGCCAAAGTTTAATAAACTAGACTCACAGTCCTAAGTAGGACCACATAAAATAAAAATAAAAGAGTAACTTGCATTTTGGTCCATAAGTATACCTGGCTTTTGCAATTTTGGTCCACATTTGAGGTTCTTGTAACGTTTTTGGTCCCTAAGTAAAATGACTACATTTGGTCTCAAAGGATAGCTGATTTTGGTCCAAAAAATAGTCATTTTCTTGGAACATGGATCAAAAACGTACAAAGGACCAAAATTGTAGCAAAAAACTATTTGGACCAAAATTACAAAAATCAGCTATAATCAGGGACATTACAAAATGTTAGGACTTGGCACTTAATAATGGGGAAAACCTTATTTTCCCAAATAAAAAAAAAAAAAAAACAACTTCTAAATTAATTTATGAAATTCTAGATTGGACGACCGGTGGTGTTTTCCTTAGCTGCTGAAGGAGAACTTGGAGTGAGAAAAGTACTTCAAATGTTACGCGAGGAATTTGAGCTAACAATGGCTTTGAGTGGTTGCACTTCACTCAAACAGATCACCCGTGACCACATTGTCACTGAGTGGGATGCACCTCGAGCTCGCCCCTCACCAAGATTATAGATATGATAATTTATCATCTCTAAACAAGGAATGTGCAAAGTAAAAAGGTATAGCATGTGTTATAATTGCAACATTGTGCCAAAATACCTTTTTGGAACTTGTAATATTTGAAATTTATTTGTTCGGTGTACTTGAAATTTCTCGTTTTGGAATAATAAGTTGCGTGGATATACACATCACCTCAATGCTTGTTATAACATTATTGTTGTTGTATATTATTTTTCGGGATATGTTTTTTTTGGAACGCCTGAAGTATATTAAAGAAGTAGCAAAACTCTAGCAAGGAGCTACAAACTGATTACATGAATTTCGGGAGATGTTTTTAATAATGAAAACATAGCTTTTTTGGAGAGCTATTAATAATCATTAGTTTCAATATACACGATCCCGGAAATCTGGAAATAGTTGTGCTTTAAAAATTATCGAAATACCATATAAAAGTCGTTAATCATCATGATCACGTACACACTGCTCCTGAGTTTTATTTAACGAGAGAAAGAAAAGGAGGTGAGAAGATTTGGAAAGATCTTTGCTCCTGAGTTTCATTTGAGGGAAACGAAGAAATATGAAAAGAAGATTCAAGTTAATTTTCCATAGAAAAATGAAAAGAAGATTTAAGTTAATTTCCCTATAAACTATCTTTCCAAATCGGAAGGAACCGAAGAAAAACGAATGAAAGATCAAATTTTTTTTTTTCATTCCTTTAGTGAACTAGTAGAGTGTTACATGCTTTGTAATCACCTTAGTGATGACATGCCATACATGCAATAAAAACACACTAACATAATTGTGCACACAATGAAATAAAAAATTGTAATTTGGTAAGAAGTGTGAAAAACAATATGCTTCATCAATTAAAAAAAAAAGGGTATGATCATCATTTATTTAGTTTATTTTTCGAGGTTTTTTTTTTTTTTTTTTTTTTTTTTTTTTTTTTTTAAATTGTTATGTTTGGCAAACAAAAAAGTAGCACAAAAAAGTAGCTGATAAACTAGTTTTTTAAAAAGCTACTTTGAGTAGCTTTTTAAAAATTTCTCAAATATACCCTTATTTAATTACCAAAAAAAAAACGTATTCTTCTAAATGGCATTTTAAGTCATTTTATATATTTCAGCTGGTTTATCAGCTAGTTTTTACCAAACGTTATTTTTTATCAGCTAACTTATAAGCTAGCAGGTAACTTTTCAGTTATCAGCTAGCTTTTCAGCTATCAATTAGTTTTTTAGCTACCAGCTAGCCTTTCAGCTAGTTTGCCAAACATAACCTTAATGAAAGGTCTTTTGGTAATTGATTTAATGAGAGAAACAATTTGGTTAGGTAATGTGATGACCTTAAGTATCTAAAAAAATGTACAATGAATTTCTAAAGGTAGTTACAATCTGCAAGGGTGATGATGGAAAGTTTGGAGATTTTTGGGTGTGTTTGGTTTTATAAAATATCAAATTAAAATAAAAAAA